CCAAGAACCTATCGATAACATTCAGTGAAGGCTTACTGTAGTCTCCCCATTATATTCCTATTCCCTGCAACTGAGGCCTTGTTTCATCGGGGACAAGAGCCAGGTGTGGCAGGAGTCACCTCATGGTTTGACACGAGGATTTGGAGGCAGATGAAAGGGCCTGATCAGAGGTACCCTCAGAAGATTTGCAACCACTTCAAATCCTCTGAGGAATGAGGTGTGAGTGGGGGGAGGAGCGGAAAGCAGATAAACATGTGCCTGGTTAATGGAACGCTTTACCCAGGAGCCCCATTTTGGCCACTGGGATCTTTCACACATGACCGAAAAGGGAATCGGAGCCAACGCTAACCCAAAGGGGCACTACGCGGTCTGACAATTAAGTTCGCGAACTTAATTGTCAGACCCCATACGTGCCTCTCTGGGCACAGACATGACGAAGATATGAAGTTGGGGATGGTTCAGATGAACAAAAATATAAAGATGGGTAACACCTCGGCCAGCTAACGTAGCCGACGGGAGTGGTGGCGGAACGGCCACTCATAAATTGCTATGGTTGTGTGCAGTTGCTGCAAGTTGATGAGGGAACAAAATCTGGCAATTGTTCTGGAAATTCGAATCGCACATAAAACTCGACCCTGAAGTCCCACTCGGGGAAATCTAACTTACACAAACAAAAAGCACCAGGTGCCATGACCCCGGAGGAGGGCGTTTACTACAGCACGCGTAGGGCACGAAGCCGGACATCACTGGGCCTGTATCATTAGGGGATCATGGGATGGATTGGGCACAGCTGAAATCTTGGCTGGAACGCTGCTCTTCATATGATTCACATCGTAGCCTGCACGTGTTGGTGTAGCGCACATGTGGGGTGTTATTAAGTGAACCAGACGCAAGGTGTGGAGTCGTTTTGAAAACAAGAAATACTCGCCCTTCCGAGAGGTGGGAATGGCCGGAGGAAGGTGTGGGAGAACTCCTGCCCCACAAGCCCCGCCTCCCTCATGCCAGTGGGGCTGGAGCTGGGAGAGTGGAAAAACAAGGGGACAAAAATATTCCAAGCTGGGGGCGAGGCAAAGAAATACTTATTCCTATTAAAAGAAAGGAGAGTCACCCAAGTTACTGTAGAGGAAGTTGATTCACTGTTGATTACATTATTTTGGCTGATGATTCGGAGGGGGAAGCATTCGGTGGGTAAGAAGAAAGTGCGATGCTATGATGGTCCCACTTCTTTGCTCTGCAGGCCCGGGCCCTTGGGAGGGTCCACTCCTGTTCACCCACACGCTCCTTATTTTGCACAGCTTCTCACCGGTTGCACCGGAAAGCCATCCATTCTCTCACAACAACCCCTTCCCCCTCTCCTCAGGAGAGGGCAGACACTAGGAGACAGCCCTGGAGGCAAGTGTCGCCCCCTGGGCTGGCCCATTCCTGCATCTTTGTGCCCACACAGAACAGCCCCCACGTGACTTTTGGCGCAGCTGAGCCTGTTTTCATCAGTCTCCTGTGGTTCCCAGCGTTTCTCCTTTGGGCTTCCTAGTGCCTAAAGCACTTCTGGTGAAGAAACCAATGGCGTGAAACTTGTTTCCCTCGGGTCTTTTCATAACCAGCCTTAGCAAGAGGCAGCTCCTAATGGGACCCGGGTGACAGGAGGCAGGTAGAGACAGGGCCCCGCTGTGGCCTTCAGCCACGCACCAGCAATACAGCCGCGGTGACTCAGCTGTCCATTCTGTGAAATGGGCACACCGCTGGCCTCTCCCTCAGAAGGGCCTGGTGGAGTGTGACAGGTTGTCTGGGTAAACATGTGTGAGGTACGGAGTCAGCCTGTCGGAAGCACCCTATAAACATCAACTCTGACAATGATGACTTGTTTATGGGTCGTACTACCTGACGTTTATTTTTGAATGCCAACCACCGGTTTGGAAGTGCCACAAAAACGTCTGTGGCTCCGTCTAGGGAATAACCCTGAGGAGGGATGGGACAGGAGGAACCAGGTGTGCTTAAGTATTCTGTTCCCTTCACCACCCTCGCCTGGTGTTCCCCACCCCAAGGCCCACAGCCTCACTGAATATTAATGAGGCCCCCCTTTTCTTGGGTGCAAGTATATTCTGCCAGATCTCCTCTATTGCCTCAGCCTTCCCAACCCTGGGAAGTAGGTATAATTTTAAGGATTAGGCTGTGTTTAGAAGTTTAGAAACTGGCTGCCACTCTCTGCCCTAAGCAAGGGATAGATGGGGGCCGCGATTCACACTGCTGGGTCCGACGCCTCAAAACCCAGTGCTCAGCGCTCCTCATCGCCCCCTTCCTTGGGGAGTGTCAGACATTGGATTTGTTGCCCCGTGTTCTGCTGGCCGGATTTCAGAGGGCACAGTGGGGCCACGCTGCATGCTGTAGGCGGAACTGGAACTGGTGCTATCAGCGTCTCCCTCTGTGCTTGGTGTTTGAAATCATGGGACCCTTCCCATGAAAAGCTCCCACAGAGGGGCCTAAGGGCAGGAAACTGAATTTGTCACCTCACCACCTGGTGGCGCCACCACGGCTGCAGGACCCGGCCGCTGCTGCCTTGGCCAGAGGGCCTGCCGGGGCTGACAGCGGTGTGGTGTGTGTCCCGGGGGAAACTCAGGGGCCTGCCTTGTGTCCACGTTCACAGGGGCTGAGGCTGCAGATGTCAGTTCCCCGTGAAGACACTGGAGTGGACGGCTGAATTTTTGGTGTACAAGCATCACTCTCTCCCTTTTCCTCTCTCTCTCTCTCTCTCTGCAGACAGGGCCCATCTTTGACAAAGGCAAGAGGCTCCCAGGTCAACCATCACCTCAGGGTCTACTACACCCCTGAGGTGGCTTCCTCCTCTGTAACATGGGCTGGGGTTGCCGGCCTGCTGGGCTCACCCCTTCTCTGGCCTCAAAGCATAGGGTTAGCATGATCCTGGAAATCCCGGTTGACAGGCTGACATTCGACTGTAAACCGGATCCAACCAACTGCGAAAGGAAAACAGGATTTCAGTGTATTTATAGCGATCATGTCATTACACTCAGTGCAATGGGACGTTAGTTGTAAAAATAAAAAATAAAGGAGAACACTGTTTAAATAGCTTCTATCGCCGTCGCTGCCTCAGAAGCATCAGACCCCTCTGTCTGCTGACCCCAGTCCCGGCAGAAAATGTTCTTCAAGACAGGACCCAGCACAGAATGGCCTCCAGTGGGGTGGACAAAACAGCTGTGTATTGGTGGGTATTTTTTGTTTTGTTTTGAACTTTTCTGCTTTCTAAAAGTCCTTTCCCAGGAAATACCAGTCGGGGGAAGAGGGCAGGCGAAGAAAGATTCCCTCTATCGCTTCATCAATGAGGTTTCTTTTATTAGCAGATTTCATTTTTTTTTTTACAGCGGTTTTAGGTTTACAGAAAAATTGACCGGAAATAGAGGTCCCATCTACTTCCTGCCTACCCTGGTTTTCTCTGTTACTAGCATCTTGCATTGGTACATTTGGTACAATTGATGAGGCCATTCTGGTCCATGATTATTCAGTAAAGCCTGCAGTTTACACGAGCGTTCACTCTTGGTGTTGCACACTCTATGTGTTTTGACAAATGCCTGATGTCATGTACCCACTATCACAGTGTCAGACAGGAGTCCCACTGCCCTAAAAAATCCCGTGACAATGAAATTTTAAAGCAACTTTTAAAAAACAGAGCTGTTTCAACTTTCAGAGCTGCAAAAAAATACCCTAGGAATTGGATAACCGCTGGAATATGCCAAGGAGATCCTATTATCCATGCAGAGGCGGCCAGGGCCCCAACGTGGGTGTGTCAGAGCCCCTGCCTCGGTGGCTGGAACTTCACTCAGGAAGGAGGAGAGAATAATATGGGTGCACATGTATATAAGGATGTTAGTGTATATACATATATTATTTTGAATTTTTAAAAAAAGGAATGTGTGTGCCGGCCACTGAATAGGACCAGCCCTCCCTCCTGGATTCAGGAGGTGGGGTTTTTGGGGTGCAGAGGGCTTGCCGATTCTGGTGTTTGAAGCACTTGCTGTCGACATGTTGCCACATGAGTGACGGTGCCACAGGCCAGCTCTGAGCTGGCGTGCACCTGATCGGGACCGGGGCAGGAGGCAGCGTTCCCTCCTTTGCACATTCTCGCTGGCTTGTCTGCTGCCTTAATGTGTCCTCCGTCACTGGGCAGAGGCACTGTGTGAACACAGGGCCGCTAGCAGCCTTTGCCTCTGGGATCCAGAGACAATAAAGCTCTCTTACTTTCTGGGGGTTCAAGTGACGTGAGCGGGTGGCTCAGCCAAATTCTTGGACAAAGCATGCTCTTAGATCCACACGGCAGTGGCCCACGGAAATGGCCACTCGGGGCTCCCGGCAGCTCGGCGCGTCTTCCAGGAGAGCTAAGAAGCCTCCTCAGCTTGTGCTGGCTTCTGCCCTAAAAATAGATCCTCACAGTCGCCAGTTCCAAAGTGTAGGGTCCCCGAAGGTATCTCTCTGTACAAGAGAGCCTTATCATGTCTGCATGTACCTAACGAATTTGCTCTAATTCATGATAGCAATTCGCTTCTGAATTTGCTCTTAATGCATTACTTGAATTAGCTCTGAGATTCCCGGATGCTGATGGCTTCCTTTCATATCCACAGACGCTTGGGGCAGCGTCCATTTCATTCTGCAAACCACCTTAGTTGCTCTGAAGACGTCTCTCTGCCATGTTTCCTTCTGGCCCTCCCTGGCTTTGGTGTTCAATCAGATGAAAAAGTACTGATTTGTAATAGGAAAACCAGGCATCCCTGCATTGCTGTTGACTGCTGTTGCATGCTGCTAGCCAGTCAGCTGAAATCTACCATCAGAAACTCAGGGTCTTTTTGGGAACTGCTCTTGGCTGCCAAAACGGTTCTAAATATATTAAAAGTAGGTTAACTTACTGTGTCCCCTGCATTTATTCTTCCAGCTGAAATTTTCCTGACTTTTTTTTCCCCCTTTCATTTTATTAGGTTAATAAAACTTGGTTTTCGAGCATTTCACTGCCCCAGGAGAGCCATGGGCCCCATGTCCAATTCATCAAGTGCCTAATGAGTGGCCTCGGAGGTCCCGGCCCATCCATCCCAGAAGCTCTCTGCCTCGTAAAGGTGAGGCCTATGGGCTGCACTGTATATTTTGTCTGTTGGTTTCCCAAATTCTCCTGCCAGCTCCTACTGTCACTTTTCAGGATTTATATGAGGCCGACGGCACTGCGGGGGCTCGCCTCTACAGCAGAACCCCCCCTCCTCTGCCCACTTTTCACACACACCACACACTCTGTGCCATAAAATAACGTTTCTGCAATAAAATGAAATAGAAATGTGTCGATGCTAGCATTTTAGAACATTCCAGCAAAAGGGCTGTGGGAAATGCCTTCGTTTACATTAAGGAGGGAAGTTCTGTTGAAGAGAGGGGGGGGTAACACAGTATGAGAAAGACCTTTAGTAAGAAGAAATAGCCTGGTATTTTAAGTAAATAAATTAAAAATAAAACGTATTTGTGTGGTGTGTGTGTCTGTGTATGTGTGTGTGTGTGTGTGTGTGTGTGTGTGCGCGCGCGCGCGCCCGTTTGTGTGCAGTCTGTAAATTATTTTTACACATACACATGTGCTACCCCTGGATTATTTTTTGGTGTTTCAGAGAAAGTTCAGTGAAAGAGAAAAGTGGATGTCACTCGCCTTCTGGGCCCGGGGTTTGGGCACTGTGTCCTTCTAGAACATTCTTCCTTTTCCTCCCCTGTAGCCTCTCTAGCCTGGGCTAAGTTGTCAGGACCCTGCCGGCTCTAGGTTTGGGGATTTGTCTGCCCCAACATGGTTGGAAAGCTGGAATCGGAGCAACCAAGAGCCGGGGGTGTACCCATTAGCTGGCAGCCTGGGAAACGGAGAGACGGCGGTGAGATCTTGTGTGTGTGTGTGTGTGTGTGTGTGTGTGTGTGTGTGTGTGTGTGTGTGTGTGTGTGTAGGGGGGTGGTCGCTGGGTGATGGGGTGCTAAAGACCTCCCGAGTTTCCACACATCAGCCTGGCCTTGTCAGCATTTGCAGTTTAGTGTCCTGGTTCCTCGTCTCTGCTTTGAGCCTTCAGAAAACGCCCGGCCTTTCATTAACTGTGCTCTCCCGGGGCATGCGCGGATCGCTAATAAATTACTCTCCATGACCTGTAACTGTTTCTTCCCTTCCTTTCAGCCGTCCGCCTGGAGCACAGGAGGGAAGGGACTCGGAGGAGAGGTTAGGCTTGTGTGCGAGCAGTGAGGAGGAAAATGGGGAAGCCGTCTTGGGTGATTCTCTGCGATGCCCTCTGCATCTTATCAAACCCGTCCCACCCCCCCACCCCCGTGCCAGTAACAGACCCCGTGCAAACAATTGGCTGGGATTTGGGGAGGGACTTCTTTTAACACCTGGGATGTGGAGAGGCGAGGGGTCTTGGGGCTAGGAGGGAAGTGGCAAGGATAGCTGTCCCTCTTCCGGTCTCCTTGCCCTGTGGAGGAGCAGCAGGGTTCAGGTAGATGTCTGAGGTGAAGGGGGAGCCTTCAGGGCCAGCTCATCACAGGGAGACTAGAACCCAGACAGCACCTCGGCTCTTCAAACATGAGGAGATACATCGTAAACTGCATCTCTTGCAGCAGTGACCTCAAAGTGCCCGCCTGTCCCAGGATTTGCGCCCCAGCTTTGCACACCCTCATATATACCCGCTGGGCAAGGGTTTCACCGCCGTTGTGTCGGTGACCGAGAATCCACACACGGGAGGCCACCCAGGCAGTAGATATGCTTCACGCCCCTTGAAGACCCTCAACCAAGGCCAGCCTTTCTCAGTTTCCCCGCAGTCCCTCTCTGGGCGGCTGGGGCACGACTCCCATGTGGAATTTCCCACCAGGAGCTGGCCCTTCTCCCCCACACGCCCCTCTTACCGGGCACTCATTATGCATTAGATTATCTTTTGAAAATATACTTTGAAGGGTTTTTGTTTTGTTTTGTTTCCCTACTTGACACTCTGGAATAAAGTAGGCCATTTATCTTGTAGGCAGAAGAATTTCAACAGTTACCCTGCACCCTTGCGAGAAGATTGCAGGCTCACGGTGGATGGAGAGAGGTAGTTAAGACATTTTTGGCATCAGGAGTTTATTCTTGTCTCAGCGTCCCCGCTAAATTTTGTAGCTTTTCTCCCCTCTCTCTAACTATTTCTCCCGACTGCACCCCGCTCCCCTTGCACCCCCATGGATCCAGCCCACCTCCAGCTATCCAGACTGAAAGGAGTATTCATGCCTAGGCCATCTGTTTGTTTAAACTCACCCTGTGTTAGTCCATGTTAAATGCCACAGAATGGAGAAAAATGTAATTCTCTGCCGGCTTTTGATCAAAGAGAGCGCTTAAAAAAAAAAATTCAAGATGGATTTCTGAGGGACAATGTTATACACATTCCGTGTGTTTCTGAGCGTCAGTATTGAGTTGATTGGGGTGGGGGGGAATCTTTTTTTTTTTTCCCCTTTTGATCCCAGGGAGAAAACAACTCGTACAAAATAACATCTCGGCACCACAAACGTTGCAAGACGGCACTTTGCTTTAGACTCCTCGGCTGAAAAGTGGAAGGATGTTGCCTTGTAATTTATCAACAACAGAAGAGAATTTGAAATATGGCTCAACTGCAACATCCTTCCTTGCTCCTGTGGGAATTCGAGGGGAGGTCACTCTTGTCTGGGGCTAATTCAGGACCCGGGATGCGCACCCCCCCACACCCCCACCCCCTTGCTCAGAAACACAGACGCCCATGCTTGCTTGCTCCATTGATCTCAATTTCACGACCAATCATTAAATGTACATTTTTCCCCCCTCACTCTCTCAGCTTCCGAGCAAATGCAAATAAAACGCTTAAAATGGTTAACGTTTCCTGTCACTGAAGGCATTCATTAGGGGTGGGGGTCGCTGAGTTTTAAAGTGGATTTTCATAGGAAAACTCATTTCAGATCTGCGGCAGGAACTCCGACCGTTTCGCGCAGCGGATTTCGGGGTTTGCGAAAAGCCTACATCCATTGCCGTCATTTAAGTGATCCTTGATAGCATGTGGCTGGAGGAGAGCAAATATCCACATTCGAACTTAGATTAACCTGGGACCCCAGCTCAGGTCACAGGAAAGAATTAAAATATGTCCTTTCGCCCCCCCCCCATCTTCCCCTTGACTATTTTCTTTTCCTTTATTGGAGAAAAAAACCAAATTTGGTCTTTCAAATTTGTTGTGTTTCCTCTATTGATTGTTTAGCTAGTGATTTTGCCAGCTTCCTGGATGTTCATTTCTGGTTCTGCACAAAAGAGCTACATTTCCTTTTGGAATCGGGACCAGGAGAGAGACAGCTGCAGACCCTGGAAATTGTGAGTACTCCATGGTCTTTCGCCTGCGAGCCTCTGACCTGGTTTGTCCTGTCCTGTCCTGCCTCCCGTCTCTTTCTCTCCCAGTTAACTTTCCACGGGGCTCCTCGCCTGAACTCCCTCTTGTCAACCCTCAGCACCATTCCCCACGTTTAGGAAAAGAGACTCTACAATTTCTACACAAACATCGGATAGGAAGGGGAGGGGGAGAGTGTGCTTACCAATTGCAGCGACTCCAATTTTCATTTTAAGGCTCTGAAAGATGGAGAAAGTACACAGAAGCAGGCTGGTTTATTTCAGGGCCGAACAGTGCGTCCCCATTGAATTTACCTAATAAAATGAATTTTAAAAAATTTTCATTTTTTCATTTCATTCCAGCAGAATATGAGTTTGCCTTTATAATGTCCAGATTTTTCAAACTCTAGTGTGAGGGAAATTAAGTTACAAAATGTAAATACATTGATACACACACACACACACACACACACGAAGTATATGAAATGAAGTAATTTGTGACTGTAATACAATAGCAAGCCTGACTTTAGGCTCTGAGGACACTTAAAACATTTTTTTAATGATGTGTAATAAGGAAAAATAAGGTTCAGTAAAAATGTTCTCCTTTTAAAATGGGTGAATGGTGATACTTAATTTAATTGTAATTTTCATTTAACATAAGTTGTCTGTTTAAAAAACAATCTTCTGAACATCTTGTCAAATGTTAAGAGGATTGTAAAGAAAACATATGTTAATATTCTAGGCCACAACTAACTCCTTTCCTTTCCATGAAACTCTTCCAAACAGTGTGGGAAATTGTAAAACAATGTAGTTCTCTCGTGAAAAGAATACCTTACCTTTAATTACCAAGAGAAAAAGCAATTAATGCTCAAATTTCAAGGAAAATCCAGTGATCAGTTAGGGGCAGGAAGAAAGAGGAAAGCAAGATGGTTATTTGCATGAGAGAATCCAGAAATCAACATTTGTAATTGTAGATGTATAATCGGAATGTGATTATATTTATAAGGAAAAGTTACATAAACTTCAAAAATGGTAGTTGTTTTGCTTAAGTGCCTGAAAAAAAGAATTTAGAATAATATTTGGGTTATCCCAGTTTTGTGTTCTTGTGTTCGCAAAACCTTGTTAGGTTAAAGAACTCCAAAGGAGTGTGTGTGTGTGTGTGTGTGTGTGTGTGTGTGTGTGTGTGTGTGTGTGTGTGTTTGTTTATATGTGCTTTTCTTACACCCCCAGCCCCAAGGAAATGTGGGAAGAAAAAGGGAGCTGACTGGTGAAAAATATAATCCTCCACTCCAGAAATTCATAACCACTATAAAACGCTTAGAAATTAAAAATAGCACTGTTCTTAACTTCTTTTCCTCTTTGGGGTCTGGTAGGGTGATGGGCTAGAGCCAGTTTTCAAAATTGTCATAGAGCAGAGATGTGGAAAAGAGCTATTGCCGCTTTCCTTTGCTTTTGGTTATTTCATTCTTGTTCTCCTGTCCCTCAGATAATGAATGGCATTCTACACCTTAACTATATATTTTTAAGCTTTCTAATTTGGATTGCTGAAACAGAAACCTTTGGCTTCTTAGGGACGTATGGCTGCTGTCCAGTAGATGGCGATATTACTTCTAGAGTGAGTGATCAATGGGGTTGGGGGTGGGGAAGATAGATACTGAGATTTAGCCCCAAATCATGTCAGGTCTTCCCTTCACCTCTCCCGGAGGGTGTCCAATAAGCTCTAAATGTTAAGAAGAAAACCTTTTTTCCAGACATCGCCTGAAATGTGCAAACTATCCAAGAGTATTGAAAGTATTTACACCAAATGTTAATTACCAAACGTCTCACCGTCCTGAGATGGCCTGAGACAGTGCCCAGCTAGAGTTCAAAGAAATACTTCCTGGAAATGTTCAATATAAAAATGGAAGACGCTTAGCAGCCATTTCAATATTGTATCAATTGCTTGTCTATGTTTTGAGAAATAAAAGCTAGCCTTACGATTCTCCTACAATAATCATGAAGAATGTACATTATAATATTACATGGAACTTTCTATGCACACAAATGGCCAAGTAAAATCAGGCATATACAGCTAGTGACATCAGAATCTCACCTTCTCAAAAAAGTGTTTTCCTTCTGATTGTGATGAATATGTATATGTGAGAATATCCACACTGGACATTGTATTTCATTGTGTCAGCACCTGCTAAAACAGTATCAACAGCTTTAGAGGTTTTAAACCTCCATCTCCCCCCATTTTTTTCTCCTATCCTTATCTCTCGCTAAAGAGAATCCCAAAGAATATCGAGCATGTTCTTCAACATATTTAATGTCAAAATTAAAATTATTTGAAAACATTTTAAAATGATTTCAATGTTTCCATTCTTCGTGGGACAACACGATTCTGTTATTAGTTTTACGGAATAATTTGCCATATCGTGTTTTTTTATTTATTTAAAAAGAAATAGTGCGCACATTGACAACTCTTTTAAAGAAATGAATTCAACAACAGCAACAAAACGGTATTTCTTTTCCTAAAAATAATGTTATCATTTGTCCTTGAAAAACAAAAAGATGGCGGGGAGGAATTAATTAGACTTCGAATGTGAAATACTAGTTAAAGACATAGAAATATAACATAATGTAGCAGAGTCTAATGACTTCATCATGTCTGGTAGTAATTAGTCCATGTATTGTTCTTTAAAAATTTAATTAAGAGACATGCCAGCTTTTATACCTGTATGTATTTACAAACTGTGTAAGTCACCAACTATTCATAACTCAAGTCAACGTATTAATAAAATAATTGTGCAAAACCCCAGCTGTTTAAATAAATTCTGTTCTGCTTTAAAGATTTTGCCCTTTGGGGAGCAAGTCATTTTAAGTATTGAGTGGCAGTGACCAGTGAACAATAGTTAAAATGAAAATAAATCTTCCTGAAACTAAGTTCTGATTTTCTTGAGCAAGACACTAACCATTAAAAAATAAACATTGTTTATTGAGCCACGTTTGTATCAAGTGAACGTTTGTAAAATGATATGGAGACAATAAGAACTTGTATGTCCGAAGTAGAAGTACTTTGGTTCGCTAGCAGAACAGAGAACTATTTGCTCCATAGAAACTGCATAAAATAAAATGAGCAATTCTGGAGAGAGATCCGTTAAGATTTGTTCAGGCCCAGGGAGGTGAACATATCAGAATGAACACAAAAAATTTTGTGTCACTTGGCACCTTGGCTTAAGGGATAATTTAATTACACTACCTATTAATGTTGACTTACTTTTCTGCTCCATCCAGCCTTCTTACGATCTTGTTTATTTCCAGAAATCACATTTGTGACAGCTCTAATAGGCCATTCAACAGTGAACGCTTTCTCATTTAGTTGAAAATATTTCAAGTTTCAGAAACCCAGCAAGGAAAAGCACTTTCAGACTTCATGTATAGGAATAGTCTGGTTTGGGGCAATATTGTTTCAGAAGATGAATTAAACCAGCCTGTTTGACCAATTTCAGTTTCCAATATTTCTATATTTCAATTTGCCATCCAGGCTGGTAGGGCCGGCCTTAGCTGATGCAAAGATAATTGCATCTTCTGGGCTTTTTTTTTTTTTTTTGCTTTTTTTGCTTTTTTTGGTAGAAGGGTAGAAAGCGGCCCTAGTGCCATCTTTGCATATGGGTTTACGGGAAAAGCACGGAGGCCCATGTGACCAGCGAGCACGTTGAATGCACACATCACTGGCT